AAAAAAAAATAAATTACAGAATTGGTGAGTCAGGATTTGAACACACAGGAGGCTGACTGGAGCCTGGGTTTTAACTCTGTCTGTGGAGGACAAGTCAAGTCTGGCCTATGTGGGGGAGAAGCATGCACATCTCATACCAGCAGATAGCTCCGGTGGCCCTGGATGGACTCCTTGGTGGTTAGGACCTCTGCCAATGCCTCGTATAGTTCATCCAATGGCTCGGTGTGGACAGCCTCGTGCTGGGGGTGTATAGCACAAGAGCTTTAGCCAAGAGGATTAGGCTTCCCATCATAAATTTAAAACAAATTTAAAATTCCAGTTCCAGTAGTTCTGATGGCTAGATGATTTTTACCAACTTTGGAGGGGGATATTTGGGATGGAATGATGAAATATTGGCCAACTGGGATATAAAAGATTCACTTGGCCAGGTGTAATGGTGCACACCTATATTTCCAGCTACTTGGGAGGCTGAGGTAGAAGGATCACTTGAGCCCAGAAGTCCAGCCTGAGAAACATAGTGAGAACTCGTCTCTTAAAAAAAAAATCATTTGGTCAGGGGACTTGTAGGGGTACCTCAAGAGGTATGGAGAGGGTTAGGGGTAATCTAGAGAAGGGATTCCATAGGCGCTGCCAAGTGATGGAGACAGAGCACTGGGTGGTATTAGCTGTCCTGGGTGGAGAAAACAAAAGGTGCTCGGATGTGAGTTCTTGGCAAAGCCACAGGGATGGTCACTCCACATTGAGGGTATGGCTTTTGTAAAGCTGCACCCCCTGGCCACCTTGTCCTGGCAGTGCTGGGGGAGACCTGGCAGTAACCTGGACTCACCCTGATGGTAAGGGCTGCAGGGACGGGTACCATTGAACCAGGGATTATTTATTTGCTAAACCTGGGTGAGGTGTGGCTGTTGTATTCAGTGGCTGGCCACAGCAGTTCTACTGACCACTGAGGATCACCTCTCTGACATCCAATGTCAAACCCAGGAGGTTTGCGCTCATCCTTAAAAATCCATCCTGTCAGCAAAAGCGCCCATCCCAGCTAGTTCAGTGGGGGAGAACACAACAAGGGGAGCTAAACTGGAAGGTATGCAAGAGCTATGACTTCTATTGGGCAGCTGGGGCAATGCCAAGGCTGAGCTGGCAGGGCAGGGTGAGGTGAGGTTTATAGCACCTTGGGGCTGGGGCTGCCTGGCAGGAAAGAGACTCCTACCTACTCCTGTGTGGTAGGAGCAGGGCCCCATGGAGAAGCGGCTGCTGTGGCACATGAGGGAGAGAGACCTTGGCCTCAGCCTTTCCTTCCTGCACTGCCTCCCCTTGCTCGAACCCAGAGGGACCCAGGGAGATCCTGCTGTGCAGTGCTTCTCCAAGCAGGCAAAGGACATGGGGAAGACATGGGTTCTGGCAGACAAGGACCACCTCTAGGCAGCCAGCCAAGTCCCTGCAAGGCAGCCAGGCTGTCTGGTGACAGGGTGGTCACTATTAATGACTGACCTTTTTGATGAGCTCCGAGAGAAAGCACCGGACATACTTCACTGCCGGTGGGTGCCTTACACACAGAGGATGTTTCACCGTCTACCACAAAGCACAAAATGTTATAGAAAGACATGTGCATCTAAAGATTCAGTCTTAAGATATAAGCGCTTTCCTAAAACATTCCCCCTACAATGGCACAGGCTGTGGCAGGATTTCTGGCAGCCATTCTGGGCAGGAGAGCAGGGCACCTGGGCCCCAGCACCCTTCCTCCCACTGTGGCCAGTGTGAAGTAGAGTTTGTAGTGAGGGCAGTCATCAATGGTCTGGCTCCTGCAAGAGGCAGGAACCCAAACTGGGAAGGCCTGCTTGGCCCATGTGCCCTGTTTGAAGCCTGCATCTCTGGGGACAGGATGGAGCGGAAGGTTCTCAGGGTGATACTGCAGCTGAAACCTAGAGAAGCCGAACATAGGAACTCCAGGCAGAGGGAGCAGCTGGAAAAGAGGATAGAGTGACTGAAGCTGCAGAGGTGAGGACAGGTGGGGAAACTGTGCCTGGGGAGAGAAGGGAGTGTCACTAGGGCCTGCTGTCCAGGAGGGATGCAGATTTTGCCCAAGGGCAACAAAATGCCCCACACAACACACAGGACCTTTAGGGGCTTTCTAGTTGCACAGTGCTAGGTTTTAAAGCAGCTCACCGTACATTTTATGTTCCTCCAACTTCAGGGGTGAAGCTCAAGGTGGAAATGAGCAGGGTGCAAGATGATGACCTCAAGTACTTCTGTGATCACAGCCTGAACTGCTGAAGTGCCCTGAAAGTCTTCCCTGTTCTGGGTGCATCTTGCCCAGAGAGATAATTTTTTTTTTTTATTAGGTCCAGGTGAGGTTTGAACTTGCCACCCCCAGTTTGCAGGGCTGACTAACTACTGAGCTATGGTGCCCAGCTCATGGGGATAATCTTGGTTCACCCTCTGGCATAGGAATTCTTAATGTGGGATTAAGAATCCTTGGATTGGCTTGGTGGTTGTGAGCAGAGATGTCTGGACCTTCTGAGTTTGTATGCAAAACGTATTCTCCTGGTGCACTTTTTTGAGGAGGGAGTGTGCAGCTCTGGCTTTTCAGAGGGGCTTGCATTAACCATGAGCCAGGCACTGATTCATGGGCTTTTGTTGTCAAGTCATGGGGACAACAATCCTATGAGATAGGTATCATTTTATCCTCCATTTTACTAATAAATGATAGCACAGAGAGATGCAGTCACTTGTCCAGGGCCCAGAGTGAAGACCCAGAATGCAGTGTGATCTGTACTTGACCCACATGGCCAGGGTTAGGGTGGGGTCAGACCAGGCTGGGTGGTGGTCCTGCCTCTACCTGCATGCCAGATGCACTTCAGAGTCCAAATCACACACTGGGCAGAGCAAGGACCCATCTCCTTCTAGAAGGGAGACATCAGTGGGGAGGATGGGCCTCTGTATTTTTTCCTTAAATGCAAAAAGAAAGTCTCTGAGCAGCTACCAAATGCTAAAAGCCATCCTCACACCTGTCATCTGATTTTCATGTGAATGGTTTAAAAAACATTCCCTAGATTCCCTTCTCTCATACGGATTTTAGTATATTCTGATGTCTCCATCTAAGAAAACAATGGGGTTTTGTCCTTTGAACACAGAGGTTTTTAAGGGATACAAATGCACTTGTGGCTTTCCAGCACGTTTCCTGTTAGGTACCAGGGCGAGGCAGAAGGATGGGTTAGGTGCTCCAGTGATCCTGGGATTCTTACCTTCTGCAAAATATCCATCAGCAGCTCAGAATCTGATGAGTTCCTTAATTTCTCTTCTAGGCTCTATGTGGGGCAGGAGAGAGAAAAATCTCAAGGGCATTTTCACAGGAACATTAAACATGCAATAGAATGTGTTGGCAAAGCACTAAGTGATCTCTCCCCAGGGACCCGGAGCTAATCGGAAGTGGAAACCACAGCGGTGGACAGCCTGACCTTCAGATGTTATAGGTTGCACCTGGATAAGTGGCAGGAAGACCGTTGGAAGACTGACTGTTGGTCTGCATTAACCCTGGCTGCTCAGCTGTCACTTGGGTCAGAGACTAGCTCTGTGGCTGAACTGGCAGCCAGGAATTCCCAGGAGTGTCATAGTACCAAGACCTGATGGGCTTGCCTGAGATGTGACACTAACTTAAAGAGAAAATGAAGAACGTGCAAGTGCCAGGCCAGGCCAGGTTATGCTGTCCTCTCTTACAGGGGCTTGAGTCAGATGGACCAGCTCAGCTGGTATGCAACACAGAGCAAGTGACTTCAATGCTTCTGAGCTCCTTACCATGCCTTAAGGGGCCCACAAGACCTAGCCCAGGCCCTCTCTGACCTTTCTCCCCCCACTCTGGTCCATCCCTGCTCACTGTACTCCGGCCAAACTGGCCCCCTTGTCTTACTGTTTAATCACAGCTGACTTGCTCCCACCACAGTGCCACAACCGAGACCTTCCCATGGCCGCTGCTTCACTCTTCTGGGAGGCCTTCCTTGAATTCTCTACTTTGATGATTTGACACCCCCCACCCCCACCCCGCCCCAGTTGCTCCATTGTCCATCTCTCTGTTCTATTAGCTTTATAGCCACTCTCATTTGGTGCTTTCTTGTTTGTTTGTTATTCTCTGGTTCTCCCATACAAGTTGGGCCTCATCTGTAATGTGAACTACTGATCCCTGATGCCTGGCTCATGGAAGGCATTCAACAACCATTTGGTGACTGAGTGTAATAAAAATACTAGCTAACACTTAACATGCATTGACCACGAGCCAGGCGCTGATTCTTGGGCTTTTGTAGTCAAGTCATGGGGACAACAATCCTATGAGGTAGGTATCATTTTATCCATTTTATCTCTCATTTTACTAATAAATGATAGCACAGAGAGATGCAGTCACTTGCCCAGGGTCACAGAGCATATAGGAGGCTAAACCATGACTCAAAGCAAAATGGCTGTCTCCTAGGTCTGAACTCCCAACTACTGCACTCTCCTTTCAGTCAAGCTCTCTGGTTAGATGTGAGTGACAATAATAGTACCCACCTCATGGGTGCTGTGGGTGTGCCTAAGGAAGCATGTATTATGGGCATGTGAAAAATTATAGGAGATATTGAATGGGATCCTATGGATGCTATTATGAAGCGTTAGGGTTGAAAATGTACATACCCCTCCTCACCAGAAATGATCTAAATGTTTGATGGTAATGAAATAACACAGATGACTAATGACCATCCCTTAAGATGAGGCAAACCCAGGGAGGAATATGTATCCAGACTGACTCATCCCAGTGAGCTCACTGAAAATGAATTATGAACAAGGCAGAGTTCATTAAGTCACTCTCTTGGCGGAGGGAGGCTGGTGCCAGGCCATCTGCCCATTCTGAGAGCGGCAGGTCTCCCGGGTGAGGGGAGACCACCCCTTTGGCCTGTCCCGTAAGAGGCATAGGACCCTCAAGTTGCCTCTGACGCGAGCTTGTCCAGTGCCCGATATACAAAAGACAACACTGAAGATAGGGGTGGGATGGCCTGTGACCTGGTCACTGCGCTCGGGAGAACGTTGCTGTCTCGAGCACGTGGCGTTTTAGAATGGGCGAGGACAGCTCTGTCCCAGTGATCAGGACAATCATTGGCTTAAAAAGAAAAAAAAAGGCATGAAAATGATCGTGAACCGTCCATGAACCTAAAAACCCAACTGAAAAGGGAGCTGGGAGGAAGCGCCACCTTCTTTCACTCTGTGGGACCCACTCGGAGCCGGGGCCATGAGACCCGAGACCGCCTGGCCCTCCCTGCCGCCCCACGGCCTTCCGCACCACCCCGCAGGTTCTGCCTGCCGCCCACCTGCCAGGGGAAGGAGCACAGAGCGCGCGCCGCCAGGAAGCGGCGCTCGAAGCTCCGCAGCAGCCCCTCAGTCCCCGCGCTCTCCTCCGGCGCCATGGCGAAGGCGGGGCCATGGCGGGCGGGGCCGCGGCGTTGCCGGGAGACCCGGGAGGCGGAAGCCAGGCGGGAGCCGGGAGGAGGTGGGCCGGGCCCTAGGGGCAGGCCCTGGAGCGGGGTTAGGAGGGTCATGTGGGCGGGGCCTTGCCGGGGCCAGCTCGGTGAGGCGGGAATTAGGGCGGGGCTAGAGATGCTCGGGTCCGATAGGCGGGGCACAGACCTCAGAAGACAGGGTCAGGCCGGGGCCAGAACGGAGTAGGTTCAGGCGTCGGAACTGTGGGTGGAGCTTAGGCTGGGCCTTGAGGCGTGGCCAGACGCTTGGAGGCGGAGCTTAGAGAGGGTCCGGCGTGGGGCGGGGCCCAGGACCCGGGAGGCGGGGCTTAGGGTGGGGCCAAGCGATGCTCCAGGTGCTTGAGATTGGCCAGGACCTGGCTTGGGACGCGCGAGGTGGGGTTTGGGGAGAGGTCTCGGTCTTGTAGGGCTCAGGAGCCTTTACTTGAGGAGGGTTTGAGGCAGGCCTAGGAGCAGGGGCAGAGGCTGGAGGAGCTTCGGGTGGGGCTGAATCCAAGTCTGCGGTCCGGCTGGGTGGCGAGGGGCGGGTGGTGTCAGGTCCTGACCAGCGTAATCATTCTTGTTGGTCCTGCACTTTCAGGAGGGTCTTTCTGGAAGGGGCCATATGGGGTCCTGTTGCCCTTATCCTATCTTCCTTTTCATCAGTGCCACCCCTCTGGGATCAGGCAGGAAAGAGTACTCCCCTCTCCCCCTAGCCTTTGGGCTTGTCATTGAACAGTTTTTCCTTCACCAAATACTTGTTAAGCACCTACTATGTGTTAGGCGCTGGCGCTGTTAGGCATTGGGAGATGTAACAGTGAGAAAACCAGATGTGTTCTGTGTCCTCCAGGGATTTGGGGTCTCGTGGGAGAAGTAAACCCTGAAGTAATTATCACACGAGTATAAAAATACAACAGCGATATCTTCCGCTGTAGGAGTTTTGATCTTGCAGGGAAAGGCATCCCTTCCTGGGGGTGGGTAGTACAGAGGTGGGGATGGCAGATTGGAAAAGAAAAAATAAAGTTTTTCTTGATATTGAAATCAGTTTAAGGTTATTATATCTTGAGTTGAAACTCACTGATGCTATCCCTGGAACTTGAACTGTGTTCCAAGTCTGAAACATTTACCTTTGCAAATCCCTCATAAAATTCCATGTAGAAGAGTCCCAAGAGCTAATTTGATTAAATATCCTTGCAGAAGGTAGATGAGGAGACAGATTAAATGTTATTACCTCTTTTGGATGAGAAACACTTGAGTCCTGCTCTACCATGAGAACAAGAGAGGGGAATTAATTCTAATTGAATACAATTATTCTCTCATATCTGTTGTTCCCTTACCACAACCAAGGGAGCTCGAGATCTGAGAAAAAAAAGAAAAGAAAAGAAAAGAAAGTTTGTCTTTTATTCCCTGAATGCTGTTGGCATGCTGTGGTTATTACTGTGTTTTTAGACAGAACCCATAGTTTCTGGGTCTGAGGTGCTGCACACATCCTCCCAGTCACTTGGTTCTGAGTCACCTGAGAATCTCTGATATGTCTTCTTAACCAGGGCTGGGTCTTGGTGTTGAAGGAGAGCAGGCTTCAGAGCTGGGTCAGGGTACTGGTTTGCCTTTGCAGTTTTGATCAGCTCTCTGCTTATAGTGGACAATGAAAATACAATTGAAGATTAAAACGAAAAGCAAAATGCCATGTGCTGTTGATGTGAAGAGCAGCATTAGGACAATCTGAGCAGTCCTCTGGTGTATCGGCACACGAACTATAGAAAAGATTTGACTTCTGGATCTAAGGTTTTAAAAAATATAATAATAACTTAAGGCCTTTTAACTGTATGGAATGGTTGCCTTTTAGAAATTATGCTGTGGGCATAGAAGTTCAATCAGTACGTTGAAGTTTTTCCTTTATCTCTCTTATGGTTAATGGTTTCTGTAGAAAAGGACCAATTGATTTCTTTCTAAAATGTTGCTTCAGGATGTAGAGACCTTTATAGGTCATGTTTCAACTTACAGAAAAATTTTATAGTTCAAATATAAATTACATTAAATGTGGACTTTGTAATGGAATTTAAGGTTAAGTAAAGTTCCAATTTCCCTCAGGCTGTTTGTAGTTAGGGCTCAGGAGGCCCTGTGCCATCAAGACAGCAGCTGTGTGAAAGCAGATGACTGGTCAGGGATGCAGGCAGTAAGAAAAATGAGAGGCTCAGTCTGATGACCTAACCATAGAGATGCAGAACGATGGGCACCAGGGCCATATAATGCTTTGATTGGTGGCAGGACCTGTGTTATGGGTTAAATCGTACCACCTAAAAAGATAAGTTGAAAGTCTCAATTCCCATCACCTCAGAATGTGACCTGATTTGGAAATAGATTCTGTGTAGATGTAATCAAGTTAAGATGAGTCATGCTGGATAGAAGGTGGGGGTGAATCCGATGACTGGTGTCCTTATAAAAGAGGATGCCATGTGAAGACAAAGATGAGGGAGGAGGGAAATGGCCAGATGGCCTGATGAGGATGGAGGCAAATTCGAGCCAGGAACACTGAGGGCCTGCAAAGAGGGATTCTCTTCTATTTCGGAGGGAGTGTGACTCTGCTGAAACTGGATTTTGGACTTCTAGCATCCAGTTCTGCAAGACAATAAATTTCTGTTGTTTTAAACCACCCAGGTTGTGGTACTTTGCTATTATGGCCCCAGGAAATGAATTCAACTGGTTGCATGATTTTTGGGACCTAGTGCAGAGTGAAAATATGGGGCCCTTATTAAAAAATCAAGAATTTCAAGACAATGACAGCAGATTATTAAATAGTCCTGGGCCCTGTGGGACTGTCCAGGATGAAAGTCCATGAAGCCAGCCTGGATTGTAGGGTTCTCAGAGTGCTGGGCCTCCATGCTGTGCAGGAAGTTGAAATGGATTATTATGTACGATGCACAATGGTCAACTAGAGGAGATGCAAAGATCACTTCTTTTTCCAGTGAATGGCTGTGTATATCACTCACACGAGCCACAAACAGAACCGTGAGAACTCCCATGACAATGCTGAGCCAGATCACTGTGTTTGGAGACCAGACACTGTCTGTATCGCCACTCCTGTTAACAAACCAGAGGGTTTTTAATTGCCCTATTATTAAGAGGCTATTCTGGCTCTTCCTAGTTCCCTGGGAAGTTTCCTATGCAGCTGCTAGTGAATATTAATTATGGAAATGAAATGTACATTTAACCCAAGAAAGTGCTCACTGTAGAGAAATCTCACAGGGCAAATTGCTGAAAGACGATTTGCTAAATGACCTCTTCGCCAAATGACCCATTTACCTAATGACCACTTTGCCAAATGACCAATTTGCTAAAAGGCCAATTCACTGAAAATCAGTTTTCAGATGTCCTGCTTATCAGTAACTGACAGTGAAACACCTTCTCCCTGTTCTTGATGGGCCAGGGAGGGGCGAATTATTATAGTTGTAGCAAAACTTTTAAGCTTAAGAAGGAAAAAAATCCTTGATAATTTGGTGAATTGGTTATTTGATTAGTTTTCTGCAAAAGGAGGTGCCTCCTGTCTTTTCAGAAAGAGATCAGGGGACAGTGGCTTAGAAGACTTACAGAAAAATTTTATAGTTCAAATATAGATTACGTTAAATGTGGACTTTGTAATGGAAAGTCACACTCCTTTTTGTGTGTGATAAGTGCTTCATAAATCTCTGGACAGTATCTAAGCCTGTCTTGGCAGGAGAAAAGATGGCCAGTGTTTGTAAACAACCTACTAAACAAGGGTGACAGCAAAATTTCAGAGATGAGTTTATTCCTCCTTTATACCACCCAGATTTAGGATTTTGAAGTCTTAAGAATTTGCAATTTCACTTCAGACTTCCCCTGTGCTCCCCCTCCCCCCAACAATGAGCAGGGTGGTAAGGCTTTGTTCCTCCCCTCTGAGCAGCTTTCTGTGTTCCTAAAGAAAAGCTGATTTTCTCTATCTGTAAGGGGCACCTCACGGGCAGAGTGTACTCCATTTTCTGACGATCAGCAGGATTACAGCCTGACTTTCTTTATGGGGGCCTTCCTTTTGGCTGGCAGGTGCTATGGACTTCCCACTTCCTCTGCTATCTGTTCAGACCTGCTATTACTTTGCTCTGGGGGCTCCAAAGCTGCTGGGAAACAGGATTGTTTTGCTTGAATGTTTTTTTTTTTCCACCTCAGAAGGCCCCTTTTTGATTCTTTTCTATCTCAGGACAGAGCAGACTCTGCTGACAATTTCCTGGCACTTGCCTTTGTATCTCATCTGGCTGCCAGTCCTAAGAGTCCATGAGCATTTCATGGGTGACCGCCAGGGAGCCAGTGTGGGGCTCGAGAGTAATTCCTAGGAGCTTACACATCAGTGGGTAGATATGAACGCTGTCAAAAGGCTCAGTCAGATGATTCTTCTTGAAATCTGGCCCCAAAGCTCTAAATATGGTCTTCATGTCCGTGAGGACATTATCAAAGCCATGATCACCTTTGTTGAAATATAGTATAATTTGCTGAAAAACAATAATAATAAAAAAGCTGTTTCAGGTTCCAATCCCCTGAAAGTGAACTGTCCCTAAGTCAACATCATGCTTATTGGATTCATGAAATCTTTGAAAATTTAAACTACAAGAACACTGCTCCCTGCAGTGGCAAAGAGAGTAAACGTCTTTGAGAAAGAGAAGGGAGAAGCACGCCCATTGGAAACAAGAAAATAATGATAATAATGGCAATAATACTAAGCTTAAACATACACAGTGATTACTGCGTACCGTGGATTGTTCCGAAAGCTTTATAAACATGTTAACTCATTTTATCCTCACAGCAGTCCAGCAAAGGTGCTATTATCGTCTCTATTTTATACCTGGGGAAACTGAGGCACAGAGATTAGGAACCTGCACTGAGTCATTAGTAGCAAGCACTGCTATGTATACAGTATGTGTGTGTATATATACACATACACA